TTGCAATTTTCAGTGCTACTCTCATGCACTGTAATGACCTATTTTTATTTGTTCCCTTTCAGCTATACTACAGTTAGGTATTTTTAGTCAGATAGAAATTGGATAGATACTTTATGTATTAGAAATGTTTAGTGGAGATAGGATGTCTAGTTACACTGTTAAATGCTTAGTCATGCTTATGAGTTTCTACAGGGTACATCTGGTCAAGGATAACTAGAGAGAAAAGTTGATGACTGTCAGCAGACAGGATGTTTAATATTATTATTATTATGAAGTGTATAACTGTAGCCTTAGCCATAATATGTTACTAGAGGTCATGTGAGAATGTTTTTAGCTACACACCATTTAATCAACAGACACACACACATTGATTTACTTCATGTTTTGACTACTGTTATGGCCAGCTGCAAAGCTGGCACCAGAGACGTCGCGGTTGACGTTTCTGTGTAGTATGGGGCTAGCCCAACCGAAGAGATATAATGTACAGGCCTGTTGGGTTCGGGGTCTTTCATCTTTCATCTGCCTGCGTGCAGGTTGGAGGTGCAAGATACCTGAGCATGTAATGTTAATTTTTGCCTGTGTTCATGGAATAAATCAGCGCTGTTTTGTAGGTACTTGGACTGCCTTGTCTCTCAGAGTCAGTATGGTAAAAAGTACCGGGTACAACAACAACCAGACACAAGGACAGTTTCTTCCCCCTGGCCATCACTCTGATGAACACTTAACCCGCAACAGTATGATTGGACAATAACCCTCAGTGCAATACATGTGTATATATATACATTGTACAGATTATACTGACTCGTACAGGTCTCTTGTTTTAAGTACTCTATCTTTATCCTTTATCCCTATTTATCTCATTTCAACGAACATTCCTTGTCTGCATTGTTTACTGTCTGTTTATACTGCTTATTCAGCATTGTTTGCACTGTTTGTTGCTATCAGTGTTGCTGTTAATACTGCTTATTTTGTTATATTACACAGCCTTATACTGGTTTACTGCTTCCACATTGAGAGCCGATGTACCAGAGTCAAATTCCTCATGTATCCATCACACCTGGCCAATAAACTGATTCTGATTCTGATTCTGAAATGACACTTGGCTACAATGTAAAGTAGTGAGTCTATAGCTTGTATA